ATGTGCACTTTTATATACACTTCTGTTACATGCGTGTCGTGCATTGTTATGATTCATGCATAGAATATGCTTGCTTTCGATTCTGCATAGAATATGCTTTCAATATTGCATAAAATATGCTCCTATTTCTTGCATAGAAAATGCTCATATCTTTTGAATAGAAAATGCACTCTTCCATACTTGCATAAAAAATGCACGTCATTTGCATAGAACATGCATTCACTCGCACTGTCTTGTGCACTTACACTTTGTATCTCACTAGCACTGTCTTGTGCATCTTGTGGTTATATCTCACTCGCACTATTTTGTGCATTGCATATCAATCGCGCTGTTTAGCGTATCGCACTGTTTAGTGCATTTCAAGATCAATCGCGCTGTTTAGCGTATCGCACTGTTTTGTGCAGTTTATCACTCGCGCTTTCTTGCGCATCGCACTGTTTTGTGCAGTTTATCACTCGCGCTCTCTTGCACATCGCACTATTTTGTGCATTGCATATCACTCGCGCTGTTTAGCGTATCGCACTGTGTTGTGCATTTCAAGATCACTCACGCTGTTTAGCGTATCGCACTGTCTTTTGCATTTCAAGATCACTCGCGCGGTTTAGCGTATCGCACTGTCTTGTGCATTTCAAAATCAATCGCGCTGTTTAGTGTATTGCACTGTCTTGTGCATTTCAAAATCAATCGCGTTGTTTAGCGTATCGCACTGTCTTGTGCATTTCAAGATCAATCGCCCTATCTAGCGTATTGCACTGTTTAGTGCATTTTAAATCAATCGCGCTGTTTAGCGTATCGCACTGTTTAGTGCATTTTAAATCACTCGCGCTGTCTAGCGTATTGCATTGTTTTGTGCAGTTTATCATTCGCGCTATTTTGTGCATTACACTGTTTTGTGTAGTTTATCATTCACGCTATTTTGCGCATCGCACTCACTACTACAAAAATAGTTAAAGATCACACTTTGACAAAAAAGAAGATCTCACTTTTATTGGAAGTGTGATAAAAAAAATTAGATTGATATTTTAATCACACTTAATTTTATTGAGTGTGATAATATTTATTTTTTATGTCACTTTTCAATTAAGTGTGATTATATATATATATATATATTTTTAATCACACCTTCTAATTAAAGTGTAATTATATATACACTACTACTTTTTAATCACACTTTTTAAACAAGTGTGATTATATATATATTTTTTAATCACACATTCTAATTAAAGTGTGATTATTTATATATTTTTTAATTACACCTTCTAATTAAAGTGTGATTATATATACACTACTACTTTTTAATCACACTTTTTAAATAGGTGTGATTATGTATATATTTTTTAACCACACATTCTAATTAAAGTGTGATTATTTATATATTTTTTAATCACACCTTCTAATTAAAGTATGATTATATATACACTACTACTTTTTAATCACACTTTTTAAATAGGTGTGATTATATATATATTTTTTAACCATACATTCCAATTAAAGTGTGATTATTTATATATTTTTTAATCACACCTTCTAATTAAAGTGTGATTATATATACACTACTACTTTTTAATCACACTTTTGAAATATGTGTGATTATATATATATTTTTTAACCATACATTCTAATTAAAGTGTGATTATTTATATATTTTTTAATCACACCTTCTAATTAAAGTGTGATTATATATACACTACTACTTTTTAATCACACTTTTTAAATAAGTGTGATTATATATATATTTTTTAATCACACATTTTAACTAAAGTGTGATTATATATACATTACTACTTTTTAGTCACACTTTTTAAATAAGTGTAATTATATATATATTTAATCAGACTCCCTAAATAGTTGTGATTGCATAAAATATTTCAATTTGATTTTTATATAAAATATACAATTCCCAAATTCGCGCCTCTATTCTACCCATGAATGATAGAGACGACTCACTACTAGAAAAGAAGGCTTTAGACACGGAACTTTTTCACCCATTTTTTCATCTTCCTCTCCCTCTGTCTCTGTGTTTCTTCTCTCTCTCTCTCTCTCTCTCTCTCACTCACTCACTCATTACTCTTCTCTGTCTGTCTATCTCTCTCTTTCTCTCTGTGTCTCTGTGTCTCTTATTTTTTTTCTCTCTCACTCATCACTCTTCTCTGTCTGTCTGTCTCTCTCTTTCTCTCTGTGTCACTGTCTCTCTTATTTTTCTCTCTCTCACTCTTCACTCTTCTCTGTCTGTCTGTCTGTCTTTCTCTCTTTCTCTCTATGTCTCTCGTCTATCTCTCTTCTGTCTATCTCTCTCATCTCTCTTCTCTCTCTATCTCTCTTCTCAATCTCTCTTCTCTTTATCTCTCTCGCTCATCTCTCTCTGTCTCTCTCTCGTTTATCTCTTTTCGCTCTTTTTCTCGCGCTCTCTCTCTCTCTCTCTCTTTGTCTATATCTTTTCACCCATTTTTTCATCTTCCTCTCTCTCTTCTCTTTCTCCCTCTCACTCATCACTCTTTTCTTTCTGTCTATCTCTCTCTCTCTCTCTCTCTTTGTGTCTCTCACTCATCTATCTCTTCTCTCATCTCTTTTCTCTCCTTGTCTCTTTCGCTCATCTCTCTTCTCTCTATCTCTTTCATCTATCTCTGTCTCTCGAGATCATCTCTCTTCTCTCTATGTCTCTCTCGCTCATCTCTCTTCTCTCTATCTCTCTCTCTCACTCGTTCATCTCTCTTCTCTCTCTGTCTCTTTTTCTCTCTCTCATTCTCTATCTCTTTATCTTTTTGTCCCTCTCTCTCTCTTCTCTTTCTCTTTCTCTCTCTCTGCCACTTTGTTCGCGTTGCTCACTCTCTCCCTTCTGTCTTCTCTATTTACTGAGCTCCCTCTCGATTTATCTATCCACTACAAGAAAATGCACTTTTAGCGACCACTTTGTCTCTCTCTCGCTCATCACTTTGTCTTTCTCTCTCTCTCTCTCTCCTCTATGTGTCTCTCACTCATTTCTCTCTCTCTCACCACCCATCTCCTTTACCACCTCCACCACTACTGCAAACGGTATTCCACTACCACCATTACTACCACTGTCGCCACTTCACCTCTACGACTACCATTACTACTACCATTGCCACCACTACCACTACTGCCACTACTACTACCATTACCTCTCCTTCACCCTTGCCACTTCATCTACTCTACTACTACCACAACTTCACCACTAATCTCCTTCGCCACCGCCGCTACCGCCGCCACCACCACCATCATCTCTTATCCACCACCTTCACCACTACTGCCACTACTGCTACTACCATTACCTTTCCTTCACCCTTGCCACTTCATCTACTCTACCACTACCACTCTTTCACCACTAATCTCCTTCGCCACCGCCGCCACCACCGCCACCACCACTGCCACTACTACTACCATTACCTCTCCTTCACCCTTGCCACTTCATCTACTCTACTACTACCACAACTTCACCACTAATCTCCTTCGCCACCGCCGCCACCACCACCACCACCATCATCTCTTATCCACAAAGAAAGATTTTTTTAAAAAAAAATTCATTAACTACAAAAAATATATATTTTAACAAAAAATAAATTTTTTTGACAACGGCAACCCCGTCGCCAAAAAAAAATAAAAATTAAGTGACATTATTTTATTTTTTAAATTTCATTTCTAACCAAAAAAAAAAAATTTATTTTTTATTCCCGCCCGTTTTTGTTTTTCATTCTCGCTCCCTTCCCCACCTTTTTTTTTTCCCATTCGCACTCATCACCCCCCCAAACAAAAAATCCCCAATCTCAAACCCAAAAATCCCTAATCTCTTCTTACCCCCCTCTCTCCATCGACGGCGAGCGACGGAGGAGCAGCCGAAAGGGCAAACGAGCCCTAGCCGTTCGCCATTGCACAGCTCGCAGTCTCTTTCTCTCTCTCTCTCTCTCTCTTGTTGGTGCGATGAATAGGGCTGGGCATAGGGTTATCCGACCCGCACAAACCGCCCTACTCGATCCTACCCGCACGTGTATGGGCGGTTTCGCAAAGTGAATAGGATAGGGTGCGGTTTGGAATATATAAGATTCGCGGGTTGCGGGCGGGTTGCGGGTTTGGACCGCCCCCGCCCCAACCCGCCCGCACTTAGCCAAATATAATTTTTTTTTTTTTTTAGAAATAACATGGACCGTTCATCATCATTTAGATCAATCTATCTATCTATTTTTTTGTTTTGCCCTAATCCCGTAGGCTGCTCAGCTCAGTTCTCTCACTCATTCCTCTCACTCATTCTTCTTCCATTTCTCTCTCTCTCTCTCTCCGATCGACCAAACCAACGCCGATTGACCACAACCAGCGCCGATCTGATATGCATTTACACAGACACTGCACCAACACTTACACTTGTTCTGGAAAATGTGGTGCGAGGGAGATTCACAGTGTAATTGGCAGATTATTTATCATTGTTCTTATTGTTTGTTCATTTTGTTATTGTTTTTTTTAACTGATTGATACAACACGCGTACCAGTTGTTAAAAATATTAAACATTTTACGGTGCACAAAAAGTCAATCGTTAAAAATATTATACTTTTTACGGCACACAAAAAGTCAATCATTAAAAAATATACTTTTCACGATGCACATATACTAACTGTTAAAAATATTTTACTTTTTACGACATGTAATTCCTGTCGTGAATAATATGACCAAAATAAATATAGGCACCAAAAGTAAAATACTCTGGCGCCAAATGTAAAATGAAATAATCTTCGAATTGGCGTAGTTGTCTCTCTCTACACGAATGCTAAAAGCTCAGTGATCTGCAGAAGTTACTACTTCTCTCTACTCCACCACACTCTTCCATTTCAAACCCTAAATCTCTACTCCTCCACCACACTTCCATTTCAAACCCTTAAATCATATTCTCACTCTCACTCACTCTCTCCTCCAATTTCTCTCTCTACAACCCACAACAGCCATGGCTCTTCTCTCACCCAATTCATCGATCCAGAGCTGCCATGGAGACTACCAAAAGGCGAGAGCTGGTTTTCAGAGACTTCCATTACCTTTTACCCGTTCCGAACTCACTCAACACTCATCACGGTTACCCTTCTTCCTATTCCCTTCTTCATATCTAATTTTTGTGTACCCTTTTGTTGTTTTCTTGTTGTGTTTTTGATTTTTTGGAGAAAAAATTGTGTTTTTGATTTTGGGTTTTTTGTGTTTAGATGGATCGGTATCAGAGGGTAGAGAAACCGTGGCCAAAGACGCCGATTAAGAATGAGATTCGTATAACCACTTAGGGAAGGATGAGGAACTACATTATTTATGCTACCACTCTGTTTAAGGTCTCTCTCTCTCTCTCTCTCTCTCTCAATCTTCATCTCTCTTTGTTTCATTGCTAGTAATCGATACTTTGTGTTCTAATATGTTGGGAAATTCAATCTAGGGTTTTGATTTGGGGATTTTCATTGAAAAATTAGGGTTTTGATTGAGCAAATAAAAAATTAGAATTGTGTTTCAGGTTGTGAAATTATTATTATTTTTTTGTTTTTAAATTTCTTGAATGCGAGTTGGGGAAAATGTCTGAATCTGAATTGGAAAAATTAAAACCTGAATGTGAAATTAGGTTCTTGGGTTGAACACATTTTTTTTTAAATATAAATTTGTTGAATCTAAAGAAATTGGGTTCTATTACGAATCATCTTCCGGCAATAGGAATCATAAATGCACAAACCATCATATAGAATGAAAGTGAAACACAACACATAGGGAAATCTTGAAAGACAAACACAGTTGTGACAGCAGTGTTGCAATAATTTAGAATGTAGAACTATATTCCACTGTATACAGATGAAAGGTGCTATATGTAATGATAGTTTATGTTAATTTTGTGAAGAAAAAAAAAGGTAACAGTTTCATTTAGTTTGGTGAGCACACAATTTAAAAATTACACTGTTGTTTCATAATTTTTAACCAGAAACATGACCCACATACTAAAAACCTTAGTGTATGACCTGACAAACACCGACAATTTTTTCATCTTTCCCCAGAAATCAAGGTTAATTGGCCAAACCAGGTAACCAGTTGGCTTACACTGGCAGTGGTATAAGGTAGACAAAATGGAAGCTTGGAACTTCCAAGTTTTGCTGAAATTTTTTAACCTTATTCCAATGATATCCTTTAACTAAAGAATGGAAGACAACAGGACATCTTTCATCTTAGAAATTTGCTAAAACAGAAAAAGGCAAAGCATTTATATTGCTTTCTTTTACGCCTCAGAAAGAAAATTTGAAGCATAATATTGCCTTAACAATTCCAATGTGAAAAGATGACAAACTTGTTCCTGATAATTTCCAATATGGAACATATACATATAAACCCAATCAAATAGCTCTATAATAATTCCTGTATTCCTGTATAAAATTGTCAAATAGTCCAATACAACCGAGTTGTCTTCAAGAAAGTACCAGCTCAATAATGTCGTGCTTCTCCTTCAGCCATAGGCTATTCTTCAAACTTTGCCAATGGGCTTCCTTTCTCATTTGAGATTCAGGTGCAGATTTTTCTTTTTAATTTTATTTTTGAAACAAAAAAGAAAACACAGATGGCTGTGGAAACTTCTTCAAAAATAGAATTGTCAAGATCCAATAAAGCTTTATAGAACGTTATTAACTAATTTAAGTTATGCACTCAAGAAGTGGGTAATTGCTTTGTTACTTGTCAAAAGGGAGTTTGATCATAAACAAAAGGCAAGGTCCCTTTTAGGAAACCGCATTAATGGTTCAATTCCAAAGGAAATCAAATCAGAGACATTGCTACTCTTGAGGAGCTGTAAGTCATGGATACTGTTCTGTCTATTGGACTAATAAATAAAGCCTGACCTTGATTTTAACGTGAACTATATTATACAGGGTCTTGGAAGATAATCAGCTTGAAGGACCTCTTCATCAAAACCTTGGAAATTTGAGCTGCATGAGGAGGCTGTAAGAAAGTTCTTTCTTTTTGTTTTAAACTTAATACTTTTTTCTAAAGTATACACTTGAATATACCGAATTACATGGTGGTGCTATCATTGCCAAAGCTTCTTATCTAAAATTCTTTTCTGGTTGGAGATAGAGTATTAATGTGTTGAAAAACAGCTGTGTGATCAGGAAGGGTTTCGTATGCATGATCCTGTCCAGCTGTGACCTTCAAATATTGGATGAGAAGTGCCATGAGAACTTGCTTTTTTAACTTCCCAGTACTGTTTCCATAAGGCTTTTTTTTTATTTTTTTATTTTTATTATAAAAAATTTTGTGATCTTTTTAAGCTACATTGAAAGAGAGCATGGCTATTTTGAATTTAAAAGCATCGTGATTATTGTTGATGCATTTCTTGCCTTGTCCAACATTCAATCATTATGTCTATCAATATATAGAGTAATGCTATACAAACAAAAAATTCATATATAATGATGTGACTCATTGTAGACCTTTCACTTCAAAACAAAACACCATTGAAGATGGATTTATTTATAATAATGGCATTGCCGTATCATTCTTATCAAGTTTTTTGTATGAATTTTATGTATGTTTATAATTGTCCCAATATATATGGTAGTCTTTGTCTGAGATTGCAGTGTCAAACATCTCTTACATGCATTGAACATTGTCTTTTGGGTATCTTTGTATGTTGAGTTGAGTGCGACAAAATGATGTTAACATTGCCACTACCGGTGCTATCGTTCTCATGTTGTTTCAAGGGAATTTATAATGGATAGTTTTCTACAGCTTTCTTTTTGCCAACAATTTTACTGGAACAATTCCAGACACATTCAGCAAATTGAAGAACTTGACAGATTTGTAAGTGGTAATTATTTTGACATTTATTAGTCTTGAATTTTAGTAAATCTAAAACTTCTTCAACTAATTGCAGTAGGATAGATGGGAGTGTACTATCTGGGAAGATACCTAATCTGATTGGGAACTGGACAAAAATTAAAACACTGTGAGTATCATTAGTAGTTCCATGCATTAGCAATCTTTTCCCTGCCTATGGAATTCTAACAAGCTTTCTCTTAATTTTTTAATTTTACCTAAGAACATCTCAAATAATTGTTAAATAATTTGTTTCAGGCACATGCAAGGCACATCCATGGATGGCCCTATTCCTTCTACCATATCCCAGCTAAAAAACATAACCGAGTTGTGAGGACTTATTTACATTTGTAATTACTTTTATCATATTTAGTAAATTGCCTAATTACTGGTCCAATCCCAGATTACATTGGTGAATTGGCTACACTTAAAACATTGTAAGTTATTCTAATCAGTATTCTTACTGGGATGCATGGTTTATATTTTTTTTAATCGAATGCTGATTTGATATCTCCAAACAGACTAAACAGAGAAATGCCAAATTTATGCTTGTAATCTGGAATGAAGTGGTTGCACTAGATGTTTCACTTGGCATGTTACATTATATGTGATCATTGCAGTGAAGGATAAATAGTTACAACATCAAAGCCAAAGAATCTGTAAATGATGTGATGTCTTGTTTCTTCTTCAAATAATAAAAAATAAATAATTTTATAGGCTTGTCAATACCCTTGGAACCCCCAAGGACACCCCACAGCTCCGTGAGAAATTGTGAGTGTCATCTCTCTACTTTCATGATCTTCGGGGGGGGTGCCCGATTAAGCAATTGGGTCAAGTTGGTTTTGTTACAGATATGAATTAAGAGTTTTGAATAAGGATTTATGGTTGTTTTGGGAATTGACTCTCTTAGTAGTTTTTGGGTATTTACGAAAAGCTCTTCTTTTTTTTTTTTGTGGCTAAAATTGCAACTTCCCAAAATAGCCTTAATAGATGATGAGTTTGACTTAGTGGGTTAGAAATTTTGGTTATGATGATTAGAAGACTGAACTGGAAGGGGATGATGATAAGCAAATTGGATTGAGTAGTAAAAAAATTGATCTCAGTAAGTAATCTGGTTTGGACAAGTTATGGTATTGATGCAGTAATAGATCCTTGCCATTTGGGCTCAATTCTTGTATGGAATATGCCTAGTTGATGAAACATAGAAAATGTAATTTGACAGATGCTAACTGTTCCCATACTAGGACTGTGAGCGAGGAGGGTTTATTCTGATTCTATGGGTTGAGTTTGGTGAGAACCTAGACTTGACTTTCTGCTGTTTATTTGCAGGTTTTCAGCTGGTCTATTTTAGGGGAATTGTTTATTTGAGGGTTGAGTGATTGAGGCATATATTGTTGTATAGTTTTTTCTCTTTCAGTAGTTGACTGCTTGGTGTGAGTTGAGTGTTGTCTGTCGGTTGATTGATATTAGCCAGTTTTATGTGAGTCTTGCAGTTGTCTATTGTTGAATTGTCCTATTAATATGTTGATTGCTTGGCTCTCTTAGGATCATTTAACGGAATGATGGCCTGGAGCAAGTAATCCATTTTGATGGATCTTGTCCCAATTGTTGATTGTTGAAGCTCTTGTTTTTGCTGCTGGTTGTATATGTCATTATGTTGAAGAGTTGGCTGTTTGTATGCTGGTTCTTTTCTGTTACCTTTGTTGTTGCCTGGTTGTTGGTTCCTGCTGGTGTTGCTGTGTTCTTTGCTGTTGCCTTTTTTGGGTTTTGTTCTGGTTTTTGTTATTTTGGATCTTTTTAGTGGTTAAGTTGTGCCCAGGTTATGTTGTTCTAAGGCTTTTTGTTCGCCTTGTTCTTGCCCCTTATTTGCATCTTGCTCATGTGTTGTTTGAACATGATGGTTCTTTTTCTAGTGTGTTCTTGTTTTTTTTTTTTTTTTTTTTGTTTTGTTGGTTGCTGTGTCCCTGTATAGTTGGTTAGCTCTTGGGGTATACCCCTTGTAGTTTTTTTGTTGTTTAATTTATGACTTATTCATAAAAATAAAAAAAAAACAATTAGATATGGCAAATTCAGCTCAAGGCACCAGAAGCTTATATATATTGGTTGTCGGCTGTATTCCTTTCTACGGTTCTACAAAGAGTGGTCTTGTTAATGCTGGTATATTGTAAGAATATTGGAAAAGCTGGCAAATTATGCTCACGTCAAGTGTTGTGTTATTCTTTACTCGATTAATAATGTTTGTTAAATCACATTATTGCTTATTGCTGCTGCTCTCCAGGCTAAAGTTGTTCCTCAGCAAGTATTACCCGTTTGAAAAACTTAAATAGGCAAACCATTGATGTTCTGGCAGCGAGACTCTACTTCTATTACTCTCTCAATTATGAGCTCACTGGTGATCTTGCTGAAATTCGGAGGTGAGTACTCTCCATTAATATCAATTCCTTACTTTTATTTGAAATCATTTGTATGTCCTTGCATCTGAGAGTAATGCACAAGTACGTATTTAACAAAATAAATAGGAAGAAGGAACAAGATTAGAGAGGAATTAGTTGATGGCATGATAGTGGTCTCTTATCTTTGATATAATATAACTGATTAGAGAGGAATTAGTTGAGCTCACTCATCAATAAACAGGTAAAGGGGAAGGCTCCACACAATTTTTTACTCACACCACTCAACCCACATTTAGTAACCTCACAATACTCATGCTCTGTATCTCCTTGCACCTGCAAAACAGATTCCACTTAATATAGACAAAAGTGCTAGTAAAAACCCACATATATGTGGTCTCATAACACTCAACCCACATTTTTAGTGAACCTAAATTCTTCACATCCAACAAATCCTACAAAAGAACAGACATTAATAGAAATAAAACACTCCATATGAACTCTCATCACTCGACCCTTAGTTTAGAGAACTCACAACCTTGAACAATGAACCACTCAATATATACTCATAGCCACTCAACCCACACAACACAGAAACACCTCAATATGTGAGGATACTTCTTGGAAGCCTCCAAGAATTAAGGAACCACTCATCATTATTTGATCTTTTGACATTTGAAAGAGCCATAGCTCTGCATCTAATCATTTGAAAGAGCCAGAGGTTTGTGACTCATGTATGGCCCTACGAGTTCATGAATTCAAGATTTAACTTAACCAAGTAGCATGAAATGCCATAGAGCTGAGGGACAGTGATTTACAGGTCTTGGTGTAGCTTATTGACCTAGTGTCATACACGCATGGCTTAGGAACAATTTAAGTGGCTTCTTTTGTCTCAGTCTTATCTTCATTACTTTAATTCCTTTTCTTTATTTTTGTTAATATGTATATATATATATTTTATAATTTTTTTTCCAGGAGTTGTTCTGTTTCCAGAGGCTACCCTTCCTCTAAGAGTTATACAACCTAACTTTATAGCTGCTATTGAAAGAGCTTTGTGCCAAGTTGATACTCCTTATACCATCGGCGTGGTTTGTGAAGTCATTGACAGCTCATAGTTATTTTCTCTGTGCCTAGGATTTGTTTCACTAGCCTTTTATCTCAAAGTAGCATTATTTGTAAAATTTTGTTCAGGTTCATAGGGATCCTGATAATGGGAGGATGAGGTTTGCAACCGTTGGGACGACTGCAGAGGTATGAGTCAAGAACCTGCCACTCAGGTCTTTTACTGCTTACTGCTTATTTATTTTTATGTTATAAAGTTTTATGACTTTTAAGTGGGCATATTTAATTTAGAACAAAATTTTAGCACCTCTAAAGTATTGACAACATCAAACTCAGTCTAGTTAGATGCTTATCAAATGTTAGACTCAATCCAACATGCAAGGTGTATTTATTCATATGTATTTCTTTTAATATCTAATTAACAGTCAAATGGACAATGATTATTAAGTATCAGAGTAGAATCCCTGTGCTGAATTATGTTATTTCACAGAGGAGTTATATACCTTCTGTTGCAAAAACTTGCTCCTTTTGTAAAATATTGTGTTGGTTTACAATTCAATGTTTGTTATTGCGGTTTGCTATGTAGAGTGCATGATTATATGCTGTCATTTTTTTAAGTATGTCAAGACTCAGGAGCATTGTTTTATGCTGTCATTTTTTTAAGCATTGTCAAGACTCAGGAGCATAGTTTTACTCTTTACGAAATGGAACATACTTTCACTCTTGGCAGCATGCCTGGTTGAATTGATAT